AAGGGTAAGCCCAGCCAGAGTTGGATGGACATTCCTGCCCTCCCTGGACCAAACTATGGAAGGAGAAGAGGGGGGTAAGGGTGGACACGGTATGGCTGTCAGGCCCCCACTCTCCTCCCAAGCCAAGCCCCAACTCTTGCGCTCTGGGGGGGGGGGGGGCCTGCTTGGTGAGGGGGTTCTAGAGCGTAGAGTGCCTTTCTCACACCCTTTGTTGTGTCTGGGCCCCGGATCTTTATTTCCTACCAAACAGCTGTGGGTCTATACAAGTTGACAGGAGGCCTAGGCCTTGTTCCTAGGGAAACATCCCTCCGTGAGAGGCCAGGGTGGGGGAGGGGGTGACAGTGAGGGCACAGCCTAGGCCTCCAACTTTGCCAGTCCCCTGCCCCCACTCCCACCACCCCCTCCGTCATGGCTAGCCTTACAGGGTTGGCTTGTTCCTGTGGGCCTCCTGGAGAGGAGGGCCCAGCACCCGGCAAGGTTAGGAATGCTTGTCAAATGCATAACTGAGCGGACAGGGGACAGCCACAGTGTGGGAAGCAGGAGGTCTCTGGTTCATTCGTTCGTTCATTCCCGGTGGAGCAGATGACAATTGTGGATCGGGGGCCTGGCCTATGTATTGTTCCTAGAGTGTGATCACTTCCGTGCCTTGCCAGCTCCGGGACTTTGCTCACACTGTCCCTTCTGGCCAGAGAGCCCACTCTGCCCCCAGCCCTGCTGTACTCCCACCTCCTTCACGGTGCAGTTCCTCAGCTCATCCCCTTGCCCCGTTGCCACCTTTGTGGTTTCCGTGCCTGGACTGGGACTTGAGCTAGTGCTGTAGTCTTTGTCATCTAAGGGCATGTGACACTTGGAGCTTCCCGTGTCCCAGACGCCGTTTTAAGTGTTGCACGGGTGATGACCCTTTTACTCCTCACCACAACCCAATGCAGTAGGTGATTTTATGACTCTCATTTTGAAGATGAGGAAACTGAGGCAGAGGGAGGTTAAGTGGCTTGCCCAGGGCCACCCAGGTAATAGTAAAGGGATTCGGCCCCCAGCAGCTGGGCTGTGGGGTCCACGCTGATACCCACCAACCGATCTATTATGTTGTCTCCTGGGGGTGATGCCAACTCAGAGAAGTCTGCAGTGGTAGCAGCAGGGGGTGGGATGGGGTGGTGGTGGTGTCACATTTGTAACTGCTGGGAGAGAGCGCACCTGCCCCTGCGGGAGACTCGGCCCCAGCCCCAGCTCCGGCCCCTCAGGTTAAGTCCCATGTTCCCTGGTGTGGCTTCCTCCCTTTTCCACCCTTCTGGACATGTCTCCTGCCACTCAGCTTGGCACGAGTAGGGCCAATGTTGTGGAGAATCATGAATTCAAGTTCAGCAAATGTTTGCAGAATGATTGCTTTGCTACACAGACCCCAAGGACATGCAAAGTTTCATGGGGACCCTTGGGCATCACCTTCCCTCCCCAAAGCTTGTTTCCTGCTGGGGGCTGGGCTGACTCGCCCAGATCACAAGGTGTGACATCTGGTAAGGATTCCGAGTTGCTCCGGAGCCGACACTGTGTCAACAGTCTATGTGCCGGAGTCTTGGCACTGCTGCCCGTGAACCTGCCCTAGACAGCCAGGTGACTTTGCCTGGCAACTCAGGGTGAGGAGATTACAGTTGGGGCAGGGCGGGTGCTCCTTGCTCCAGGAGCAGCTCCCTTCTAGAAACTTGGGGGCAGTCTGGGACGCGGAGATAAGCCGGCAGATCCCGGGAGCTCCGGTGAACGAGTGGCTCGTTTTGCCACCTGACAGTGGGTGGGGACACTTGTCAAAGGCTCTTTTTTGCAGCAAACAGTCGGACAGAGTCCGCCCCGCCCCTGCTGGCTCCCTGAGCTGCACGCTGCGGGTAGGGGGATGGGATGAGTAAATGGGGGTGGCTGGCATTTGCCTCTGCCAACTGCAGCTGACAAGTGGCGGCTCGCAGGACGAGGCAGGGCAGGCTGTGGTGACCCCGGGCAGGGGCAGCCAATGAGCTCCCGGGCTGCAGTGGCACCACCGGGCAGCCTGCCTGTCTTTGGCTGGAGCAGTAGCGGGTGGGGCCTCGGGCCGCCAGTCAGGGCTGCCGGGCCCTGTCTCTGGGAGGCCCCGGCAGATCTGCAGCTCCATTCACAGAAAGTTCTACTCTGGCTGCCACATTTTTTAACTTTTCCGACCTTCTGGGGGAGGAGGGCGGGCTGTGGGGCGGTGTGGGAAGTACGTCTGGGAAGACTGTGCAGCCAGAGATGGAAAGAAACTTGTAACTTTCCCCCTGCTCTAGATCTGGAATGGGCTCTAGCTCCTGGCTGGGGAGGAGGGAGATTCTGAATATTTTACTCACAGCAGGGATGGAGAGGGAGCAAAACAAGGGGAACCAGAGGTTGTTAGGGAACCCCAGGATCCTGGCCTGATTAAGCTCCTTACCTTTTGCCTGGATGGAATCAGCCTTGGAACAACATTTGTGACCTTAGTGGCTGTCGGCTGGGGCAAGGGGTGAGGAGGACATTTGGGACCATCACCAAAGACTCCTAGGTGGTATGAGCTGGGCCGTGTCCGAAGCAACAGGTGTTTGTGGCCCATCACCTCAGCCCCCTTGTTCAACGCAGACCCACCAAGGCCAATCACATAATAAACATATATTTATAGATGTACAATTTTAGAATTCTAATTCAAGAAATACAGCTTCTCAAGGGATCCTTTAGGATCTATGTTCTTATTGCACATGGGTCAGCCCACCTAGGGACATCTACCAAGATCAGACGGTAGGGGTGGTGGGGGCAGAGCACCAGGGCCACCGCGGCGAAGGGGGGGGGTACTCTTGCCCACGTCCACTT